AGCATTTCCAGCGGCTGCTCAATGACTGCCCTCCAGATTCGTCATTTCCGACCGTCACTTCTGTATAAAGATTAGAAGTTAGTGCAGAATCACGAAACCATAAATTCAAAACCAGCTATAGGTTGAAGTGAAGAAGCTCTGCGCGGTGGATCGAGCTTATAGTAGTGAATTAAATACGGAGGAACGAAAAGGGCAAAAAAGCAATACGCACTGTTTCAGCAAATGTACCCCTAAAAATGTTTCCTTGGAGAATGGAAATGAAGAGCAATTGTCCGTCTATTACAAAAGAATCAGGTGACCGCGTACTGCAACTATGGCAGCATTACATAACTGTCAGCTCCCGGGAAACTTCACTCCTGGATTATCCTGGACAGGCTGAGGCATACAACTGCCAGGGGACAGCTAAAATTAAGCAAGCTACCTGACGAGACCAAATCTTCACTCTGCGAGGATCTTTGATCAATGATGACGATTCCGGTTTTCTCGACTTCAATGCTTCATTTGATTCACTACATCACTGAATGATATGGAAAATCTTAAAACGCTAGAGGATACCTGAGCACGTAGTTTCCATTTTGTGAGAGATGTATGCAGCTATCGTGTCGGCTGTCAAAGTCGAAAGAGTTCCACACGAATGGTTCCCCATTAACTGTGGAATTCTTCAGAGAGGCATGCTTGCTATTCAAAATTTTTCTCGACCTTCTCTGAAACTGTGCTGACCTCACAAAGGTAAAGTTTTCATTCTAGAGGGAAGATACAGCTGAACATATGCGGCTAAATATCTTGCTGACTTTGAGTACGTAGATAACACTCTCCTGGTGAGTAGTATCGGCAGGTTGCCGTATACAACACAGCTATGAAGGCGATCTCTTCCTTAAAGGAGGTGAAGGAAGCGACCTCTTCCTTAAAGGTAAGTGAAAACTTACGAGGAACCATCAGGGTAGAACTGGGAGGGGAACCTCTCAAGGTTTATCAGTTTCAGTATCTCGACTCCATCATCTCCAGTGATTGCACTACGCAGCCAGGTTAAATAGGAAAATCGCCCTTAGCTAGAGTGCTAGAGGCAACATTCCAATATTTGGGCTGAGAAAGTAGTTACTGTTACCAAAATCCGCCTTATCTTGCCCCTGTCATGTCAGCGTTGTTGTATGACATGGGGAGAGTTATTCTAACATTCTAAAGAATGTGCAAGCAATGGCTCTGACGCATAACGACAGTTAAATGACCACATAAGGAATGACTTTAATCTCTTTCAGACACGTGTAATCTAGGTAAATGTAAAGATTAAGAAAAAGATGCTGAGCTGTTACACAAACTTGCTGGGGGTAAACCATTAACTCCAGTCCATAAGCTTCTAGTGAGAGGGCTCAAACAAGACAGATATCGACCAGGAGGTCAGCAACACTAAACAACAAGATAGAGATAGATCCGCTTTCGGAGAGGAATATTTCTTTCTGCGATATAGTAACCGGTGTCATATAGTAAGTGTTGAAAAGCTGCTGATAGAGTGGACATCGCAATTCAGAGACGTTCTATTTATGGAAACTCTTCAAGGTGACGATTTCAACAAATAACAACTAGTCAGAATCTGCTATATTCTTGGTGAGTGGCAAAGTCAAATACAAAATTCTGTTACAACCGTAAGCGGCTTTCGCAGTCTGCACCTCTTTTCACTTATTCTTCGGACCCTTACACCCAGATTCTTTATTCCTAAAAAATATCTCTATTATTTCAGTTGAACAATAAACTGCAGTTACTGAACTATCACGGTTACCTGTCGCCTGCCTACGATGGCAAAGAAGGGTGATCTTCAATGAACAACTTGATGGATGATGGTTCACTAATTTTTATATATGAGCAAATGGTCAGAGCGCTCTAATTTTTTGTACCATCCGAATAGTTCTTTGGAACAACAGTTTCAAAAATAACGGGATTATATGTAGAAGAGCGAATGTTCAATCGATTCTTCCAACAGGATTAACGTCAACCGTTTCAATCTCCATATCTGTTGAGGTCCCCTGAGCTCAAAAAAAATCCGCCATTCCTTACGCGGCTGTGCTGTTGAACTCTGATTATGGGTCGAAGTTAGTCCTTCAGTAAGTTGTTCGCTCGCCATTCGTCGTCTTTCATCAGAGGGATAGTCCACAGCGCAGAGCACCATGGACCTGAGCGAGGCAAAGTAAAAGTTGATGTCTTTGTGACAACTACAGGAATCTTAGACAGAAAGATATAAGTTAGAGGTCACTGAGCATAAAGTTACGCCTAATTCAGCTTAGCACAACGTCATGCCAATCACTTCGATTATTTTGTTGTACAAGTGTAATCAAGTATACTTTCAGCGCTATGATTCACTAGAGGCAGCGTCGCGCGTTATACGCATTCCGGTCAGGAGACTGTGATATGCTTCTTCCCCTCCGCGCCAGCCGTTTCGCATTATTTCTTCAATTGGATGACAGCACGCAGCACTTCACTGAACAAGCTCCCATCAGTATTCACGGCCGAACATGTCAGCAGCCTGCTGGATGAGCTGCAAGCCACGAAACGGAGGTGAGCGTTCAAAAAGTCTCAACTATCACTTAAGTGGCCTCCGTTTCCATCGGCTTAAACACATGGAATCGTGTTTTTTACTTTAATCCGAACATGAGATCGAAGAAAGATAAGAGTGGCTTGACGAAAGCAAAAATTTTAAACGAAACCATGTAGCCAACTCACATAAATGAGTTTGTTCAGCTCATACTTCAAGCTCATCCGAGCAGCAAATCTGCATCCATGACACTTACATTCGGCAACAAAGCGTCGGTCGAAGTTCGAGAGCAAAGAAAATTACCTCATCGCCCTGGAACACTTGCGGCGACTTGACGTAAACGGCAAAACGGCGAGAAACAGTTGGGCAACTGCTGGCAGTAGACTCAAGACACGGAACGGCCGCGTGTATCGTCTGTTGGTGGCACAAAACTACGAAACGACAATATCGAAAGAGTTTTCAACTCAGCGGCGAGCGGCACCGTAAAACAGGAGCTAATAACCAATCGCTAAGTTTGATCTGCTGAGCTGAGTGGACGCCAAGAATCTTAAGCACCCTGCATTTCTGCTGTAACTGAAAAATGATGAAGACAGCAAAAAATACGTCAGCAAGATCGCATGACAGAAATGAGGTAAACCTTAGCTACAGTAGAAAGAAAAGGAAAAGTGCTGTAACTACTGGAATGTCAGTTTTCTGGCCTTTAATAAACTCCCCTAACAGGCGCCACTTCTTTCAAAGAGCTTATGGTGCAGTGCTGATTCTCCTTTCAATGTGCTATTTACTAAAGCAATATCTGCGATAAGGTAGCAAGCATACCAGTCGCTCGTTAGATACTTATCAAAGGAAAAGTCGAATCAACTTGTCGAGTACTTAAACCCTCCGTACATTGCTTGACATTTCTGTGGTTCATTAACCGATCGAATAGACTATTACGCTACAAGGATACGCCGGCCTTTAACCGAGAAATTCAGACGTAAAGGAGGAGCGATCTACTTAAACTGAAAAGATGATGTACTAGCTTTAACTTTGGCATAACAGACTTGAATTTTGGTCCGATTAATACAAAAAAATACAGTGTTACATCGCATGTCAACATTCGGATTTTATTTACCTAATAAGAATCACCAACCATCAGACAAACACACGAAAAACGCTCTTATCAACGTCAGTTAACAAGCAGTTTTAGAAATTGTCATGTTTATCCAATACGCAAAACACCACAGCGATTTTCAAAGTATCGGTCTAATAAATGCTACGTACCAACCCGTTTCAGCTTTTAGACGTTATCAGCAGAAGAAACAAAATTTAATATCCTCCGAAGGACTTAAGGAACACTGCAGGTTATAATTAGAATAAAATCACTGAGAAGCTTCAGTTTTTAATAAATTCCACACTAAGAGAATGCCACGAACTATGGCAACATATGCATGCTTCTTTGATAGATTTTCATCAAGCAAAAAACAAAATCTTAGTTTCGACACTTTTTAAAGTATACTTATCCAGTCAATAACCATTTGTCTGCAGATGGCAACAGGCAATTTTACAAGACACTGCATAACTAACTTGGACCAAACGAAAAGACTAACCCAATCGAACTTACTTCATCAAAAAACTTACCGAAAAACGAAAAGTACTACTTTACCAAATGTATCATATAAATACACGAAATACAAACATATGAAATGAATTCATAAGAAACAGCCAACGCTACCATAAACAATACCTTAAATGCGTCAGACTGCTAAAAATCGTTAACCATGGTGGATAATTACTTTTCGATGTTTTAGCTAAAGGTGAAAAGACCATCTTAAAGCAAAACAGTAATCAAACTCACATCAAAAACGTGTTGAAACATTCATTAAACCAAGAATGAAATCTCATCGAAATGCGGAAGAAATAAAACGAAAATCACAATACGATACACCTGACAACAGCTGCAACACTACTCACTTGTAAAGCACGTCTTCACGACCTCTATCATTCGCCACTGCGTCAAACAGTATGATTGCTGTACCTGTATATCGCAATTTTGTAATGTTGCAGAATTTTACGTCAGCAGTAACACGTAATAATAAAAATACAATCAAGTTAATTTATTTCATTGAAATTGCTGAAGCACCTTATTGTTCAATCTATTTTTATTCAAAAATTTCACTTAAGTTAATTTCTAGGTAGGGCAGTAAGCCAAAACTTAAGAATAATTTGTTTATGCGCTAATCGACATGCTATCATATAAATAGACAAAGAATGGCAAATTGATTGACAATGAAGCTACAGATTGAAGGTTATTAATAAACAGTGCAGTAGTTAAATTACTGATAAGAACAGAAAAAACATTTTGCTTACAGCGAAAGCTCTCTGCTAGTAAAGGTATTTCGCGCAAATTACGATTTATGGAAGTGCAGTACATGATACTTTCTACCACCAGTCAATTCTGAGTAAAATTTGCAGTGACTTTGAATTGCAGTATGCTTCATACTCCTTCAGTGTCCTAGGAATTTCATTAATTCAGTTAAATCACCTCTTATTCCTCATCAACAATACGCCTACAGGAAGATATCAGTATTTTGATTTGCAAACATACACAGTAAATGATCGCTATTTTCTGCCTGCGCAGTTTAATCGTTTATTCACGTTTAAAGAGCGCCATTCTTTTTGAGCCGTTTAAACGGCATAACTTTCAAAGATGCAAAGCGTACTGAAATACATGCTGGTAACAACCGAGCACTCCGTATCCATTTGTAAGACATGCATGCAGGAACTATATTTATTGTACAAATCGAGGGAGAATTATCTTAATAACTTCCTGCTAATTGTAAAGCTCTGCAGGGAGAAGTTTTCGCCTCTGTTTTTCAATATTATTCCCTACATTCTTTCCTGAAGCAGTCGGTCCTGACCTTAGCGGAAAAAGAATGCCATTCTAGGGCAAAGGCGCAGCTATAGGTATTTCGAGGATTATATTGTCCTTATGAGTAAAACTGATAGCTAGCTTCGGCATTTAATGGACATTATATGCGCCAAAGTTGGCTTCTGTCGACAAGTGATAGATATTAGGAATCCATTGGATAGCGTGGCCTTACAACCAGAATGGAGAAACCAGATGATAGTAATGGAAACCTGATGTACTTAGGCTGATCATCTATACCAGATGGCACCAATAAATCGTGATGAAATTTGAAGACTGCACTTAAATGAAGCGTTTCTTGCAACGAGTCCAATATTTAGTATTAAAAACAAGCTACCCACACAACAAACGTCCGCCTGAATATTGAGTACGTCATGTAAGTATTGTGATGGGATGCAGAAAGTTATTTAAACGAAGAAACAAAAAATGAGTGAACTTCATCTAGCAACGTTCGACACATGTTGAGCAATAGCAGAACCACGTAAAGAATTATCTGATTTTGTTCCGAGAACTGGTGACCGGCGCAGGAGCAGAAATTAAAAGATTGGTATTGTTACGAATATGCATTCAAAAAAGAATTTTCCATGTGATGCGGTAGCGAGTACTTTATAGCATGTGTTGAGAAACTGCAAATACAGGGGACACGACTGACGCCTACACGTGCAATTGCGACCGTTGAAGGTGATATTTCAGCACATGTTATTTAATGTGTTCGACAGCTGGAGTATATGCTACAACCTCTCGTACTTCCAATTAGTAGCAGTTTCTCATTGATAATAGGAACCTGGCTTGAATAAGAGAGTAAATCAACGTAACCTTTCAACAGCCTGATAAAGCAACGCGTTTCAAGATGTAAGTTTACTTTTAGGACTCTTGTGCACAATATAACACAGTTGTCGGTGCAACGCTAAAGTCTGACATATCCATCACTAGTAAAAACATTTCATACCAGCAGAAAAATACATCAATTAGAAGAATAAACTGTTTTCAGTTATACGTCAAATCACTGACATAATGAACCAGGACGAGAATTTTTACAGAAAATGCCGCTCACCTCTGTGCGCTTCTTTTTACTTTTTGTTAGGATGAATGAATGCATAACATTTACTTAGATATGCGGAACAGTGCCACCTTTAATCTTGTGCCTATCGCGTAAGTTCACGTAAAGGATAGAAAGTTAAGTGCTTTCCTTGCTATATATTCTGGAAACACAAAAATAAACCTTAAATTGAAATTCAGACCACAAAAAGAGTATAAAATTTAATAACTACGGTATCGCAAATACATTCGCAGTGAATTTACTGATAGCTTTCCACAGATGAGTAGCAGCAAGGACTAAAAGACAAAATTTTCTACACATGAACGTTCACCGATTTAATCTCTTCTTTATC